GGGGCGACTCCTCCCCCACCACCAATCAATCAATCAATCAATCAATCAAACCCCTTCTTTTTTTATTTTTAATTTTGCATCTGCATTTTTTCAAAACACCTCATACTTCTGCAAAAAAACATAAATTCATTTCTTAAAAAATACAGGTAAACTCACGGACCATATATCTCATGATAAAAAATGACCAAAAAAAAATCCTGCTTTTCTTTATATATATTTTTTAATTTTGTTTAAATCGATTTTAGTTTTTGATTTTTTTTAAATCTTAAACAAAGTTGGATTCAAAAAAAAAATATATAGGAGTGTAGGGTTTTTTTAGCCCTACATGCCCATTTTTTTTATTATTACTTTTTTCATGCATTAGAAAAAAAAATAAAAATCTTGCACCGAAGTTGGCTGGTTGGCCTAGGCCGAACCCGGCCTATTCGGCCATCGGCCTAGGCCGCGGCCGACTTGGACCCCCCGGCCGTGGCCGGGCGTGCAACATAGATGGCCATCTGCAGGCGCTCGGCCACCGGAACAGTGTCGCCATCCAAGTGATACTGGATGATGTCTCGGAGCTCGATGTCCTCGGGGGCGTCCCCAAGGGTAGGGTCAAACTCGGCCGAGGCGTCCTCGACAAGCGATCATGCATATAGAGAACACATTAGTTGCAACGAAGATTGTACATATCTCGTTTGGCTACTCTTCATTTGCCACAGTTCATGCTTCCACTACCTTTTTTTTGTCCCTTCTTTTTTTTTTTGCTCCGGTCGATTGGTGGGGAGCCACACCTGCTGGAAAACCGGGTCCAGAAGTGTCAGAAAGTTTGTGAAAAAAAGCCTTGGCAGATGACTGCCAAAGTTGACGTCAATGAAGTGTTCTCCTACCTGTCACAGCGGAATGTGGAGGATCGTCCTTGTAGTAACCCCTCTGCAAAAAAAAAAGGCTTCTCTTGCGAAAGGGTCTCACAGACTCTGACTGCACACACAGCTTTGTTGTCGTGGAGCGAAGTGTTCTGCGATCTGTCACGGCAGTGCCTGGGTGATCGGGATGGAACGCCCACGCGTTGTGGCCACAGCGAGTTAATGGAATGATGCGCTCACCATTGTCAACCTAGCATACATACTACCTTCTTCCCCCGAATACAACGTACGGTCATTATAGCTGTATCAGCAGTCTTTTTGGAGCCATCCACAGAAACCACATTTGCGGAGAGAGAGCGGCACCATCCGGCTCGTGAAACGTGTAAAGCTTCTGTGATTCATGCAATGTCCTGCAGCCTGCCGTCCAGGAGAAGTCCTCAGCCTACCACTGCTTTCTGATCAGAGGATTGCACACAGGGCATCCAACTTTTTTTGTATTATCATCAAGATGTCATGGCAGTTGAACGGGAAGCAGGGGAGGCCTGTATCGAAACTAAGATCTGTCTGGGGCAAATAAAAAACACATCTTTGAGGAGCAAAATAGAAGAAACACGGATAAATCGACAAACGGTCATAAAAAAAATAAAAAAAATAAAAAATAATATAAAAAAAATCTCTTTTTTCTTTGTTGAGAGGGTATGATAATCGTTGGTGGAGATTTCTTGGGACAAGGTCTCAAGAGGGGAAGGCTGAAAGGGCGAGGAACCATAATTTCCTGGGAGGAATTTGAGCTCATCCCCTGTTGAATGGTACCCACATGTGCTCGTTGATAAACAGGTGATGAGCTCAAAAGCCTCAAATTCTTCCCAGGAAATTATGCATACGAAAGTGTCAGGGGCTTAATATCCCCTCCGAAGTTCAAAAAAAAAAAAAAAAAAAAAAAAAGGGGGGAAATTTGTATGCCAAAATTCCCCTAAGGGTCGTGGTATGGGTGAATGCCCTTCTGACATTCAAAAAACTTCGCAGAATCCCCTTCCCGTCAGTTGGACCACTCATTTTATGTATGTGGACGGATCATCACCCAGATACATTCGTAATGCTCCAACACTCTGAATGTATGGGGGCACATTGACAGTCCAGGTACATATAGAATGTCGTGCAGAGGAGCATCTCTCTCTCTCTCTCTCTCTCTCTCTCTCTCTCTCTCACACACACACACACACACACACACACACACACACACACACACACACACACAGGATCCGGTCCCCCTGTACAATCGTTCCTACACAACATTCTTCACGTATGTGGACCACACTGTCACCACAGATACATTTGGATTAATCGAACATTTCAAATGTATCTGGGCCCAAATACAGTCCAGACCCATGGAGATCACTATAAGGGGAGGCTCTCTCCCTCAGGCCCACTGTCTCCCCCGCCTCTCTCTTGCACGTGCTGCATACTACGGGGGCAGGATAATTTTGGAAATTGGTGTCCGCAGTAGGCTCGGGGAGGTCACTTTAGGCCTCTGGGAGAGATCGTTAGGAGTAAGGGAGTATCATAATTAGTAGTAGAGCTAGTATAGCTAATTGTTTGGTCGGTGGAGGCCAAGAATTAGAGTAGGTGGTAGGTCGGAGTCTAGTTTAAAGATAGTTGGGATAGGAAAGGTATTCATCGACTCACTGTAGGCTAAGTACTGTGTTATTCAAGGAAGGAAATGAGATCTTGTTGAGTGACAGGGTTGTTAAAACAACCTGTTTTAAGCTAAACCGACTGATGCTGTCGGGATAACTCCGGGTTGAATTGTGAGGTCCCCGGCCTCGATTCCCTTTTGTAATGAGAATTGTTACGGTAAAAATAAATAAATAATAATAAATAAATAAATAAATACAAAATAAAAAAAATAAAAAAATAAAAAATGGTGTCCGATTCGGCCACCTTTACGGCGCCAATAGCCCTGGGCATTAGGCAAAGTCGCCCACCCGGTAAGAGGGCAAACGGGTAAAAAACGAGTGCAGGCCTTGCCGTCTGTGGTGCGGTGCAGAACACAAACTTCGGCACCCACCTGACAGGGGCAAATAGCAAAGATTTTGGGCCAAAAGGCTATTTGTCTCTACCCACATCTTTTTGGGGCATTTTAGCATATATCTCATCTTTGGGGGTTCTACCACAAATTATCCTAGAAACAAGGGCCGGAAATCGGTGATCAGTTTTCCTTGTCAAGAAGAAGGCTTACAAACAACTGTCCCCCTTTTCCAGCCACACACGGGGAAAGGGTTTTTTTTTTTTTTTTTTTTTTTTTTTGTGGAAAGGGGTTTATGAAGGTTTTTTTTTTTTTTTGTGGAAAGGGGTTTATGAAGGGGCGACGGCCTTCAGAAAGGGATTGGGTATCTTCGTTGATCGGACCGGCCCTACTTTTGGTAGGTGATTCACAATGATTAATAAAGGTTCAGCAGGATTTAAACCCAGGTCTGTATTTCAACAGTTCGTGGGTGGATCAACTGAGCTGCCGGCTTCCCCCGAACATAACGCACCTTCGTTTTGACTGTGTCTGGACGGAAAGATAGTCTGTATGCATTCATTCTCAGGTTGCGTTATGTTCGGGGGAAGACGGGGGGTAGGCTACTTTGGTAGTTGGTAATGCGTGCGCGTCATGCTTGCGCGGGGGCCATGCTAATCTTCTTTCTCTGTATCGTTCCAAAATTTTAACGGATGTCCTCAAGGACCGACGGATGTCCTCAAGGACCGAGGAAAGGGGTTTAGCCTTCTCCACCTCGCGGAAAGCAGGCAAGGGTAGTGTCCACGTCTGACGCCAGTTCCCAGCGTTGTAGCTATGGCTATGGCTATGGGTATGGCTATGGCGTCCACGGCGATGATGACAGCCAATTCTGCTATAAGCGGGGCAGCAGCAGGGTTACCCGACGCGCCTCCTGGTGCTTGCCACGTGGTCGCACGCTGGTCGCGATCCCCATCGCCATCGCCATCGCCATCGCCATCGCCGCATTCAATAGAATGCCCCCGAGCGTGGCATACTAGACCACGTGGCATCTCCTTGATTCACGATCAGGCAAGCTGCGGACTAATTAGGAGCTCAGATGATCTCCGACAGACTGACGTCGTTGCATCGTGGGTGAACGTTAACACAGTCTCTGGGAACGACAGACTACCGGTAGGAGGAGGAGGTACGAGATGTCGCCACGTCATCCGGCTTTCGATATCGGCGATGGCGGCCAGCGAGTCTCTGGCGTTGGAAGAGAAGGCTCCCGTCGCCTCAGGTTTCCCCCTGCTGGTCCATCGCGGGTAAGTCCGGTTGCGTCTCCTCCTGTAGCTGTCACGGTCAATCTGTTACCTCCCCTCACTCCCCTCTCCACCCCTCCTCCTTCCATCTCCTACCCTCTTTCTTACTATTCCCATTCCCGCTCTTCAGAAACGCTCGGCGCCAAATGTCTACCATATATGTGTGTGTCTCTGTGTATGTGTGTGTGTGTGTGTGTGTGTGTGTGTGTGTGTGTGTGTGTGTGTGTGTGTGTGTGTGTGTGTG